AATTACACATACAAGTACTTGCTAAAATGAATAGGGTATGTTATAGAAAATAAGTTTAGTTGTTCTGCATCTCATTTTAAGGAGCAAGAAAAAGGTCAGGTTTCTTATTTTGCCCTCAAACATGTACACCTTTGACCTGATTTAGCCATTGTTCGATGTTGTGAAATCAAACCAGGCAAAGTTAAAAAAAAAAAAAAAAAAAAAAAAAGAGGTTCCCACAGCTATACTTCTCTGAAAACATCTTGTTTTGTGTATTTGACTTTGGAACAATGAAAATGATCTAACTATAGAAAACAAAATTAAATAAAAGTGAAATAAAAGGCATTCCCCAAATGGGAAGAAAAATGAAATAAATAAACCCATCAATTAGGTTTATTAAAAAGTTATTAAGTAATGATAATATGATATTTGATAGTATTAAGAAATTATTGTTCATTTTTTAAGATGCAATAATGATATATTTTTTTTAAGTTCTTAAAATAAAAAAAAATCTTATCCTTTTGAGATACTTACATAATTTATAGAGGATTAATATGATGATTGAAATTGGGCTCAAAATCACCCAGTATATATCATCCACTGGAGAAGGGATAGGGGTTTTAAATTTATCATTTTATTTTCTCTATTATATTTGATATTTTTCATAAGAAAATGTTTTTTTTCTGTAAGCTGCATCTTAAAAATTATAGGCATATTTTGGAAAGATTTCAACTGTTTGGGTTTTTTTTTTTTAATCTCCTTAAATTCTTCAGCAATTTTTTCATGTATATGTGAGTAGATTTTTCTTTTGGCAGGTCTATAGCTTTGTTTCATTTTCAAGGACAATTGAATGGGCAGGAATACTATTAATGATACCTAAATGCAAGAAATAATCTCCTTTGAAAGCAAGAACTTGAAAAACCATAAAGATAAAAATGTTATTAAATTGTATTTATTGCTACTAAGAAAACATCTTGAAATAGATTTCTAGTGGATAGTGTAATATTTTAAGAGAAGAGCACCCTCTGCTGTCTTGACAAGAAATGTTAACACAAATGAGGAGACACTATTGTGTCCTTGATTTTTCCAGTTACCAGCCACAGTAACTGGAACGTATCATAATAATAATAATAATTAGTAGTAGTAGTAGTAGTAGAAGTAATATTAGTAGTGGTAGTATGTTAATAACTATTATTATTGAAAACCAAGGTAGATGATATCATAGTCAACTTTTCTTTTAAAACCGTATCAGGGATGCAGGGAAACATTACTGGCCTGCAAAGGTGGGGTTAGAATTTGTTTCCTAAAATATATAAAGGCTATAAAACTAAGCAAAAATAACTTTAGCACACACATCTACTGTGAACCAAATTTTACCCATTTGGAGACAGTCAACCCAATCGCTTGGGTTGCTAGGTGAACATGTCTTTGTGTGAAACTGAGAACAAAATTACTTCCATAGACTTCCCTGTGCATTTGAGCTTGTCAGAAATGTGCCATTGCCTAGGAAGTCCATTGCTACCCTGGGGACTTTAGAAATTCAGCCCAGTGGGTTCCACTCCCAGCCTGTTGTTCATGTCAGTTCAGTGCATTAAAGCTCTTATGTGGAGCTCACTTAAGGCTAGGCAAGGCCAATGTTAGCCTACTCCATGGCTGCCTGTGCCTGTCCTTGCCATGATCCTAAGAGATGAAACAATAACATGTTTTTATCATCACATGCCATTTTCCATTTGTTTTGTTTGAATTCCTCTTTCTTGAGGAAGAGTCTGTGAATATTGGTTTTTGAAGTGGCACTGTGTTGAGTAAAGGGTTAACAAAACCCATTCTTCTATGAAATTTGACCTTGGGTTAACTTTCTGGTTCTGTTTGCCTGGAAACCTGATAAAGGTGGAATGTCAGCTGTGTTACTGAGGAATATTGCATGTGGTAAAAATGACCTCTGATTCTGAGCTGCCTCTGACTCAGAATGCATTAAAGATATCAGTTCGGGAGACATAGCTTCGGATTTCTCAAGGTGTGATGATTCTTGCAACTCACCTGTCCTTTGTGGAGACCCAGAGGCTGTTGTTATAAGATATACTGGTTTTTAAATGGCAAGATTGTCGTCTTCTTCTTTTTTTTTTAAGATCCTTGTGTGTGTATTATATTTTTAAAATCAAATTTTTAGTCAACAGACACACTTATGGTTTTCCCATATCTTGACTATTGTGAATAATGCTACAGTGAACATGGGGGTACAGATATCTCTTTGAGATTTCATTTCCATTGGATATATACTTCAGAGTAAAATTGCTGGATCCTATGGTAGTTCAACTTAAAATTCCTTTAGGAACCTCCATACTGTTTTCCAGACTGTCTGTATTGATTTACATTTCCACACATAGCAATACCAGGTTTCTCTTTTCTCTGCATCCTCTCCAATGCTTATTACCTTTTGATATTTTCAGAACAGCCATGCTAACAGGTGTGGGTGACATCTCAATGATTTGCATTTCCCTGATAATTAGTGATTTTGAGAGTCTTTCATATCACTGAACTGTGCACTTAAAAATAGTTAAGAATATTTTGTTATGTGTACTTTATCACAAATTTTATAAATATACTAGAGGCCCAGTGCATGAAAATTCATAAGTTGAACTACCATAGGATCCAGCAATTTTACTCTGGAGTATATATCCAATGGAAATGAAATCTCAAAGAGATATCTGTACCCCCATGTTCATTGTAGCACTATTCACAATAGTCAAGATATGGGAAAACCATAAGTGTGTCTGTTGACTGAAAATTTGATTTTAAAAATATAATACACACACAAGGATCTTATTCAGCCTTAGTTGAAAAGCTAGTTGAAATAAAAAGATCCCCAGGGTGCATCTTGCACCCAGCTGTCATTAAAAAATATTTATCCATGTCACTCATTATTCTGACATTGTGCAACCACAGCTAGATATAAAAAAGTAAATTGAATGCAGAAATCTGACACCAAACTATAACCAATGTTAATAACCTTACATTTCAACATTTTTAAGATTCATCAGAGCACTCTGTCTTGTTGTTTAAAGCTATGGAATTTGAACTGTTCAAAATAAAAATAAAATATTTTCTAATAAAATTGCTCTTTAACCTCTTGTATGTTTTGTTCCATGTAGGATTTTGATTGAAACAAAATTGTTTTTAGTTTTTCTAACTGCTGATAAATTAATTAAGCAAGGAGGCCATTAGACTGAGGTGGCTGTAATGACTTGGTAGCCTACATTAGCAAACCGAAACCTAAGCCTGAGTCACTGCCCTTGATCCCAGGAAATGAAACCCAAGAATGACCAATGGCAAACAGCCAGTGGGGCTTTCCCAAATAAGGCAACTGCTTAAACTCTAGCTAATCAATAATTTATTTGCTTTGCTTCCACATGTTCTCTGTGAAAACCTGGACCCTAGCTTCTGTCAGCAGAGTAGTCCTAACTGCTTTTGGTTTTGTGCTGCCCAATTCAAGTCATTATTTGCTCAAATAAGTGTCATAAACTTTAATATGACATGATATGCCCTAGTTTCTTTTTTTCTTTTTAACAGTTCAAACATGCACTGCTCTATTTCAGTCACACATAAGATGCTCTTACAAATCAGTAAGAAAGATATTGGCTACTTAATTTAAACAAAATACAAAAGACTTGAATAAGTACTTCACAAATGATGTCCAAGTAGCTAATAAACCTATGAAAAAGTGTTCAACATTGTCACATGTCATGGAAACAGAGAGTAAAGCCATTGTGAGTTATTTTACACCCACAGGAATGACCAAAATTAAAAGGACTAAAAATATGAATTATTTACAAGTAGGTAGAGCAACTAGAATGGGCACACATTACACACGGTGAGAGTGTAAATTCATTTGATCACTTTGGAAATCTGGTGGTACCTACTAAAGATAACACATACTTAACCTCATGACCCACCAGTTCTACTCCTCGTTAGATAACCAAGAGAAATTAGTGCATATGTCTATCAAAAGACAACTATAAAAATTTTCATGAGTTTTCTTAATGGTCAAAAATTGGAAATTAGAAGCAGTCCAACAGTCTATTAAAAATAGAATGGATAAACTGAGGGATATTCTTATAGTGGAACCCTAGGTGGCAATGAAAATGAAAGATCTATTGCTACAATGTAACAGCATGAATGAATTTTACAGACCTAATTCTGAATAAAAAAAGCGAAACATAAAATAGTTTGTATGTATGTACTAGTATGTATGTATGTATGTATGCGTGTATGGTTCCATAAGTAGATAATAATTAGTAAGATATTGGTAAAGTTCATAAATAGATTAAATTAATGTATGGTAATAGAGGTCAGCATAGTATTTACCTTGTGAAAATCAACTAGGAGAGGTTATGAAGGTGCACCTAGGATGCTAGAAATGCCCTGTATCTTGATCTAGTAGAATTTATTTATTAGTTAACTTGAAATTTATATTCTTTACATAGTTTAATATCTCATTAAAAATAAAAGAAAATATAGTTCAGAAAAAAGCAACAAAAATAGATCCTCTTAATACCTGAAACTAGCCAAAAGGCTATGGAGTTAAGCTGGGGATGTCATTAATGGAGCCCTCTACCCAAAGAGAAAGGGAGGCTCAACAGGTCACAGGTGTTTATAGTAAGGTATTTTATTTGTATACCTAAGCAAGTTAACACCACTCAATATAAAATGCATAAGATAGGGTCTGATTCATAGTACACATTAAAAATATCAGTACTTCTATTGCAGCTGCTATTTACTATTACTGTTACAATTTTGTTGTTGTTATTAGTGATTGAGTTTGAATCAGAAACTCTCACTGTACCCCTGTCAGTTTATTCTCACTTCCAAATCCCATCCTTCAGTCCATTCTTATTTTCTCTGATTCCCCCCACAGGGTACCATCAGTCCTGGGCATGGGGACATTGGCATCGTTTTATCTTTCAAAGCAGACTGTGGGCCTGAGATGAGGTCCAGGGACAGAAGGGCCTGAGGGATGGGCTCCCTCAGACAGAGAACTCGCAAACTGCCAAAAGGGAGGCTGTGCAGTCGACGTCATTCCATTTGCCATCAGTCCGGATCATCACACAGTGTTCCCCAGAGCCAGCATTGTTGGGCTCATTATCATTCCAGTTTTGGTAGGTCACAGGCCTTCCTGTCAGGTCCACAAAATGACCTTCTCTCTCCTCATCTGTGATGCCCAGGAAGGCATCTCCTTCTGTTATATGCAGGATGGCCTTGTTCTCTTCAGCATTCATGGGGGTGGCCACGGAAGCCTGGAAATGGGTGCACAGTGCCTTCACTCTGTCAAAGGTCATCTTTTCACCATTGGTCAAGAAGAACTTCCTTCCAACTTGTTTGCCCAGGGCGAAGGCCAGCCCTGAAACAGGAAAAATGGGGGTGACACTGGCGTGTCTTTAAGGCATTTTTTTGGATAAAGGCTTTTAGAGGAGAATTGCCATATGAAATACAGTATGTCCAGTTAAATTTGAATTTCAGATGAACAATAAAGTTTCTTTTTATTATAAGTATCTTCCCACAAAATGTTGAGGACATACTTATCCTGAAAAATATTAGTTATTGTTTACCTGAAATTCAAATTTAAGTAGGTGCCCTGTTCTTTCATTTGTTAAACCTGGCAAACCTAATCTGAAAACAGCCTGGAACAAGGGCCTTTGTCCTTTTGGATAAGGGTTCTAGAACATATGTAATTGGTGATTCTGTATTTTACCCCAGTATTCACTTGAGAAGAAAGAAAAATGTCTGCGAATATTTGCTTCAGGCCAGCAGGGCACAAAAGGAGCAGGTTAGGCCCCACTGTCAGGTCTCAACAACAGAATAACAAAGAGAAAGAAGCTTAGGTCCCGTTTTCAGTGATACCTACACACGCTGATAGTAGAAAGTACAGGATGGGGGTTGGGGGTGTCTCTGGAGTCAGACTGGCTTCAATTTGTAAACTACCTCCAACACTTACTAGCTCTGTGCCTTTGAGCAAGTTGTCCGATTTCTCTTGGCCTCCATTTCTACTAAGGTTTGGAGGGATTTCACGAGATCAGACCGTGAGGAACACTTATGCGGTACTAGAAAATTATATGTATTTAACAAATACCTTGCACCTTCCTAAACTGAAAGCTGCCTGAAACGTGAGAGAGAAGGCTTACAATTTTTGACACGATCCAATTCTGAGCGCAGAGCTTCTCTTTCTAAAGCAGCCAGGCGATCATCACACTCTAGAAAATGTAAACAAAGCGAAAGAACATTGTTGGGAAGGGATTTCAGAGCTATAAGTGGGCAGGGTATTTTTTTCCAAATTAAAAAATTAATTTCCTTATACATTAATATTTGCTTTTTGAAGGAAAATAAAAATATTAAGAAGAAATGAGGTAAAAGTATCTGTATTGCCAGCCAGCCCAAAACATCACTCATCATCTATTGAAGGTATTTAGACACTACGCACATGCACACAAACATGAACACACATGCAGTCCCTCATGACCTAGCATGATAGCACTCCATACGTCAAGCTACTCACTAATTTTTTTTTCCCAAATAAACAACTCCATTGTGAATAAAAAGTAAATCTCTTGGGAATTATTATGTGCTGGCGAATCTAAAAAGATTACAGGTTTTTGTCTTTACGGAGGTTTTGATTTATTGCTTTTATTGTTTTGTTTTTGTTTTTTCTTGGAGTTTGTTCAGTAAACCAAGATTTTTGTGAATTGCACATTATTTAAGGGGGGAGGGCATGAGGCAGGCTGTGTGCTAAAGATGGCAAAAATGGCCTCCATATGGTACTGCTTGTCTGTTTAAGAAATGGAGTCTGTTTTCCCATTCCTTGAACCTGGGTGGGCCTGTGACTTGCTTTGACAATAGAATGTGACAGAAGCAATAATGTACATGATCTAAGCCTTCAGAAGGCCTTAAAGCTTCAACTCTTTCTGCTATTGGGTATTTTGTAATCACCTCTATGTGAACAAGCGGGGCTAGATTGTTGGAAGATGAAAGACCTGTGGGTCAATGACCCTCATCACTCCAGCTGACAACTAAACAACAGGCAGACATATAAGTGAGACATTGGTCATCACTCGACCACAGACACTGAGATCAGCAGAAAAAGCATTTGGCAGATCCACAGAATTGTGATTTAAATAAATGGTTGTGTTTTTTGTTTGTTTCTCATGAAGTAAAAGATAACTGACATACCATGTATAGACTGCTGTTGTGAAAACAGACATAATAAGTCCAACACATTTGAGGTCTACTTTCTCCCTTTCGGACCAGAGCCTCACATTGTGGCAGCTACGGAAAGCCGGGGCCCAGCTCCTTCAGGGAGTGCCCAGTGAAGGAGTGGAGGGTCTGCAAGTCTGTACTCCGCAGTCCGCTTGGGCTCTAAGTAACCTAGCAAGGGCTGAGTGTGCTGGGTCAGGAAGCAGAGTTGGGCATCTTTCCATGAAGCAGCCGAAGTGGCATCTCCCAACTGGTACTCAAAATCCCAGGACCCTGGGACTAGGCTGTCAGCCTAAACCTGGTTGAGGTTAGCTTCTTACCTGGGCATTTTCCAGGGTCTCCTTTTGGGCCCACACTTCCTGGTAGCCCAGGGAGTCCTGGATTTCCTTGAGGCCCCAATTTTCCAGGGGGACCTTGAATGCCTCTGAGCCCTTGGCCTATGGGAAGAAGAAAACATAAATTAGTGTCTCTGTGTTTGCTTTATTTCTCCAAGAGCTTGATGCTTAATCTTTTCCCAGGAGAGCAGAGACATTAATCCAGGACCAGCTTTCTAAATCACTACTTCCACTGACCCAGAGAAGAAAATCTTCCCAGGTCCCTCGGGATGGCTTGCCATGAAGGGCCACTCCCTGAGCAAGCAGGACAACCACATGTCACCAACTCCTGTGTGGAAGTCAGGGATTTGTTTTGAACTATAATAGTTGAGAGAAATACGACCTATATGAATTGGACATTGCTCTTACATCTCCAGGCAGTTTTGTCTGGCAGGTAAAGATTCCCAGAGAAAGAACAGCCCAAGCTCTACCTGGTTCTCCTTTTTCTCCCTTGGGGCCATCACGCCCATCTCTGCCTGGCAAGCCGTTGATGCCTGGAGAAGCACAGGTGATCACAGGGCAGGTCTTTTGAAGGTGCTCACCAGGTTCTATTTCTGAATAAGATGTTGTCACCACACTCAGAAGAAGGAGAGAGAGCAATGGAAACAGAGCCATGGTCCTCACCTTGGTGAGTGGAAAGTCAAAGAAGATTATCTCATCGTGTTCAGTTAATCAACATGCATTTACCAAACATTCCCTCGGTCCTATAACCTATACTGGGCAGAGATGATGTAGGGATGGATGGCCCACCCATTGCTGCCTCCAGACTGGGGATGTGGAAAAGCTAATCTTCCTTCAGATATTGTGTGATGAGTACTTTAACATGGGTAGGAATAACATGCAGTGACGTCCCTAGAAGGGGGTCCCAAATGGCCCAGGCCTCTGGTTTTACCACTAGAAGGCTGTGCATATGCTACCCATATCCTTTCTGAGACCCACTTCCAGCACACTCATGCCTTTTGGCTTACAGGGTGGAAGTGAATGGAGACCCAGGAATCTGTAGGAGCCCCCGCTCACCCCACTTCTCCCATTTGGGCCCATCTGCCACCTGCATCCCATCCTCATATCTAGGCAGATTATTGCCCTTCAGGGCCAGTTAACTGACCCTGACTTAATGGTAGGCACTAAACTGTAGGCTGGTGATCCAGAGAGGGATAGTCACTGCTAGTCACTAACCCAGAATTAACTTGCGTTTGCTTCCTTGGAAAGTTTTATTTCCTGCTGCAAGAGAGACTTACCAGGGGTAGCATTTTGGAAATGTCTCACTGCCTTGTCCCTAGCAGGGTACCAGATTCCTCTCTAGTTCCTGGAGGAAATTTCCCGTGTTCTGTGGATAAAAAACATTGGCAATTACCACCTCCCTTGACTCCCTTTCCTATTTCTTAATCTTAGCATTTCATCTCTCCTTCAATGCTCTCTTTCAAAACTGTCATTTCCCAGGAAACCTCAATATACTAGCTTCGTGGTTCTATTTCTTTATGGCTTTCTTTGGAAAAGAAGGCAGTGTCATTTCTGCAAATGGTCAGGTAAGTCCAGAAAGCCACAGGTGCCCGGCAAAAGCAAAGAAAGAATGATTTCTGCTGGCCATCTCCCCACCTGCACCCCTCAGAAACCTTCCCGTAGGCCTCCAAGGTCAAGTCAAGTCCCTAGACAGATCCAGGACCATAGATCTATTCAGCAGAAAGGACTTACTGGGGCTTGTGCAGAGCAGGGATGCAAAGGTGAGGAAGCTGGCCCTCCAGCCAGGGCTCTGGCAGATGTCTCAGGGTAAGGAAGGAGGCTGGACTGGGCAATTGCAGGGCCCAACCAGCCTTGTGAACTGAGATGAACAGGCTGGCCTGGCCTTCAACCGCAGATTAATAAACAACTCTTCTTGGGACTGCACTAAACTCCTAGCATTGCCCAGGGGTTTCTGGCACAAAGTTCAGCAGCTGTTTGCTCTACTGCTGCACAAATCATCCTTCAAATTGCCATCTATTATTTATTGTGGTAAAATACACATAACATCATATTTGCCATTGTGACCATTATAATTCAGCAGCATTAAGTACATTTACATTGTTGTGCAACCATCACCACTAATCTCCAGAACTTTTCATCATCTCTGACTGAAAGTGCATACTCATTGAGCAATAATTTCCACTCCCCACTCTCACCCCTCAGTAACCCCCGATGACTACTGTTCTACTTTTCATCTCTATGAATTTGTCTATTCTAGGTACCTTATATTAGTGGAATCATATGATATTTGTTCTTTTGTGACTGGCTTATTTCACTTAGCATAATGCCTTCAGGGTTGATCCGTGTTGCAACATATATCAGAATTTTCTTCCCTTTTAAGACCGAATTATTCCATTATATGCAAATACCACATTTTGGAAGGTTCATTTTTTAAAATACGTTTTTTTTTTCTAATTTATTTTTTAGAGAGAGAGGAAGGGAGAGGGAGAGAGAGATAGAAACATCAATGATAGAGAAACATAAACATTAACAATGATCAGCTGCCTCCTGCATGCTCCCTGCTGGGAATCCAGCCCGCAACCCAGGCATGTGCCCTGACCAGAATCGAACTGGTAACCTCTTGGTGTATAGGTTGATGCTCAACCACTGAGCAACACCAGCTGGGTGGTAGCTCCATTTCTAACAGCCAAAATTACTAGAAATAATCCAGTTGTTCTTCAAGAAGAGAATGGATATATAAACTGTGGAAAACTCACAGAAAAAAACAGCAGACTATTGACTCATAAAATAGCTTGAATCTCAAAGGCATTATATGAGTAAAAGAAATGTAATCTCAAAAATTTACAAACTGTATGTTCTTTTTATATAGCATTCTTGAAATGATGAAAGTACAATAATAGAGGACAGATTAGTAGTTGGCAGGAATCAGGACTACAGGGAGGATATACAAGGTATAGCGTGGACAATTTTCATTGGGGCTGATGGAATAATCCTATATCTTAATTGTAGTGGTTACACAAACCTATGATTGTGAAGAAAATTTCATAGGACTATACACCAAGAAAAAAAAAGCATAAAGGTAAATAATGGTTAAATCCAAATAAGGTGTGTATCTTATTGTTGTATTGTTCCTGTGTCAATTTCTTTGTTTTGATACTTGCACTGTGATATGTCAGATCCTATCATTGGTGAATAATGGATGAAGGGTACATTAACATTAAACATTACTAATGTTTTCCACTTATATATGAGACTAAAATTATTATTTTTAAAAACTTCCCAGAGGGACTCTCAAGGAAATTGCGAGTGTTGCAAAGATTATTCTTACCTTCTTCAGAGCTTTGTCCATGTTTCACACTGTGAATAGTCTGCACAATGGCTTGAAAATGAGACAAAGGAGGCTAGGTTCTCAATGATGATACTCTTCTGTCTGACTTGGCTTACAGCATGAAATCCAAGTGGTGAGAGATTGACAACAGGATTATAACTTCTATAAGACTGTGGACCTCCTCTAAACGGTCATTAGAGGAATTTTATAAGAGGAGAGATGATCAGATTTGAATTTTCAAAGCTTGTTCCGACTACAATGTGGAGAAGGATTGGAGGGGAGCAGGTATGAAAAAAACATCCAACATGCAAGGTGGTACTTACTATCATTTAAGCAGCAGATGATGGTGGCCAGAATTAGGATGATGGCAGCTGGATCGAGAAGGTGGACACATTTGAAATCATGTACAAGGTACATTTGAGGGAACTTAGGAATTGGTTGGATATAAATGGTAAACAAGAAAAAGGGATTTTTATGGGCTCATAAATTTCTAACATGAATATTTGGGTGCCATTCAACTGAGATAGGAAATAAAGGGCAAATAATCTCACCAGGGATAATGGCTATCTTGTGGGTCAATGGCTTGAATCATGTGATGGTGGTCAAGAGAGACAATCTAGTTGGAAAGGAAGAACAATTTTATGAAGCACAGTGGAGTTAATTCTACACAACATTTCTAATAGAGCTGTCACAAAATGTTGTGTGAGCTTGGGGTGGTGAGGGAGCTCAACCTGGAAGCTTCATACAGATGTTGCAGAGCCATGTGGTGAGTGTTCTAGAGCCTTCCAAACACCAGAAGGAATGTGGATGGATGAGATTCTCTCATAGATCCCTTCCAATTAGACTCCCCTTGGCTTGAAAAGGGCCTGGTTTCCTTACTTTCTGCTGACCCGTCCTTGTACCTAAAAAATGTCCAGGATGGTAGAAAACCACATGCCCAAAGCATATGACAGACGCCAGGAGATCCAGGGCCTTAATGCGGCTGCAGGGGAACTTGTTCATCCCTCTTGCCTACTCTTTAGCAGCCAAACCTTCCTATGGCTCCTGTTCCAAAGTGGCAGGAGGTGAAATAAGGTAACTGAATATTGTTGTAAGTGCTGCCTTTGATCACAGAGCTTGTTTTTATTGAACACTTAGTCCAGAGGTCAGGAAGCTGCCCTCCATACCCTGACATTTCCTGGAACTGGGCTGGGAAGCGGTGAGCCACTGCTCTGGGTATGACCCACCTCTGAGCCCCTTCTGCTCTCTAGAGTCACCTGCAGGCCTTTCACATCATGAAAGACCCCTCGCCACATGCACCATCCCCTGATTACCCACTCTTCACTCCACATCACAGATAAGGCCACTGTGTGCATTTGTTCTGGAATTTAGACCCTTCCCAGGATTACCTCCACTTGGTACCTCGACCAAAATCTACCTCACCTCAAGGGGTTTCAGAGACGCTGCCTCTCTGACCTGTAGAAGGACTGCCTGGCCCTCTGCACCCCTTTCCTCTCACTGGGGCTGGAGTCCCAGCTCTGCTACTTCCCAGCTATGGGTCCTTGTCCAAGTTCTTTCTCCAACAGTTCCTCACTTGTGAACGAGGGCCCCACTGCCTTGGTCGTGCCATGGAATGCCCTTTCTGCTCCACACTCAGCGTGCAAGCAGCCCACCATGCCTGGGCCCTCATTGCTTCCAGGATGACCGCTCAATGGTCTTCTTGGGAACCAGTGTTCTTGGGTGGCCCCTTTTGGGAGGAGATTTAGAATCAGAAGACTTTCTTTGGGCTCATAACTGTGAGTGTAGATAAGTCCTCTGTCCTGACTGAGCCTCAGTTTTTACACCCATAAAATAAGATTTTGAACCCCAATCTCTTTCCCATGGGGATGCTGTGAGTGAGTGATAACAGTAAAGGGGGAATGTCAGTGCCCTCCAGGCAAAGACCGCCAGGAACATGCCTAAAGCCAAATAAAGTTGATTTGCTTCCTTTAGTTTTATAAATTTCATACTTATTATATAAGGATATTGCATACAATGGCGAACCATATGATTCCTCAGGAACAGGTTATCGGGAGGGATTTTTTGGGGATTTGGCCTTGTGTTCGGTGATTTTGGGGGCAGTTTCAAGAATGGATGTCTATGCTACACAGAATCCTGTTGAGAAGCCGAGGCAATTCTGTAACTGAATTACCTTAATAAATGTTGTCACAGAGAGAGAAATGGGACGAGGCAAAGCTGTATCTGTAACGGAGTGGCAGGTGTTCCAGGAGAGGGGCATGTTTTCATTTTTGTGGTCCTCAGAGTGACCATTTTTGTCTGTGTCCAGATAAGATTTTGGAATGACCTTTGTATCTCATAACAGAATGATCTCATTTTATGTTGGACAGCGGGGACCTGCTCCCATGCCACAGAAATCAGAACACATGTGACCTCAGAGCCTTCCCAGACATTCTCTGCTCATCCTTGCCCCACCCTTGCGCCCAGGGTTGTATTTCCACCAACAGCCTCCCACTAGTGCTGTTTTCCCCTGACACCTGATGGGTGGATGTCATCTGCATTCCTGGGTCTCTGGGGCCAGGGGTGCTTCTTGTCAGGGGTCATCCTCTGCCCTTACTTTGTCTCACTAGGTGGGATGCAGAGCAGGGCCTGGCAGAGTTAGGCCCAGCACCCCCAAAGAGGAGGAGCTCACAGATGAGATAAGGAGAGGGCTGAGTGGGTACCTCCATCACCACAGGGACACAGGGCCAGAAATAAACACCAACTAATGCAGAATCGTTATAAAGGACTGACTAGTCATTTAAAATAAGCATAATCAATATCTATCGAGAAATAAGTGAAAACACTTGTCATATTACTCAGATAAGAGGTGGTATAAAAGTGATAAACTAGACATATTAAAATGAATGGCATAACTTAATAACTGAAATAATGAGCTGTGATATTATGATTTATAATAAGAAATACATTCTTTGTTCTTTGTCCCGTTCCTGGTTCAGAGCTGCTAAAACCTTTGGAATCTCCTAAGTGATTAAAAGAGAAACTGTCTTTGTTGTTAATGAGGTGACTTTTGGAAAGCTCCTAGGTGACCTAAGGATGGGCTGGTTGCCAGGAGATAATCATGAGATAGACACCCAGGGGCTCTAAACAGGGGAAGTGTAGTATAAAGAGGATAATTAGGCTGTGATAAAAGTAATGATAGGATACAAGAACTCTCTGTGGCTCACACCTCCTTGGGGAAGGCAGAGTTGCACCCAGTGGATGGTAAAAAACTGTGCTGGCTGGCTCGTCCAGAGCTGCTCTGCAGTCATGAGACAGAACAAAGGAATGAACTTTCTGGAACACAGGCATGGAGGCCAGCCAGAGCTGGGGGCCGCTCTGCCAGGCAGTGGGGCAGTGAGTGGGCATGTGTGGCAGGTGCCAAGCATATGTTCCTATTGAAAGAGCTGCTGGGGGCCGAGGGCGGGGGCGGGGAGCAGCAGAGGGAATGAGGGCATAGGTGCAGGCAGGAAGCCTTCAGGCTGGATTTTCCTGTCAAGAGGGCGCCGGAGGTTGTATGAGACTAGGCCCAGGGGACAC